TATATATATATATATATATATATATATATATACATTTCCAAGTAACCCACAAAACTACTGTAACTATTATACAAGATTAAAACTCAAAATCAAGGGTTGGGGATTTAGCTCAGTGGTTCCGCTGCCTGCCTCGAAAACAGAAGTTCCCAAGTTCGATCCCCGGTACCAAAACTCAAAATCAATCATATTTCTATATACTATCAGTGACTGATCCAAAAAAGTTAAGAAAACACTATTCTGAGCTGGGGATTTAGCTTAGTGGCACCACAGCTGCCTCGTAAGCACAAAGTTCTGAGTTTGATCCCCAGTACCAAAAATAAATAAATAAATAAGATACAGTACTTAGGAACACATTTAAGAAAAAATGCAGAACTTCATTTACTGAAAACTACAAAATATTGCCAAGAAAAATTAAAGAAAATCAAAATACAAGAGGAGATAAAAAATACAGTGAATGTTTAAATTTTAAAAATGATCACAGTAAAAGGTACATTGGCATTAATCCCCCTCAAAATACTTCCCCTTGCTTCAAACACACATATCCCATTATTCTTGCCATTTTCTGAAGCAGTTCTGGAAGAGAGCACTCTTTCATTTAGTGTCTTTACACTAAAGTAAATAAAGGTGTGATAAAAAAAATATGGTGAATACTGCTGCCAAGTGCCATCCAATTGAAAGGTAGGCTTGTAAAAACATTATAATTCATTCTCATCCACTTTATTCACCAGATCTGGCACCATGCAAATTCTGGATCTTCCCCAAAGTCAAAATGACCATGAAAGGTAAATATTTTTAATTGATTCAGGTCTTCGAAACAGCACAACAGTACAACTAAAGATATGGAAGAGGACTTCCAGAACTGAAGTGGAAGTGACAAGAACAATGAGATAAGTGTGTTCAAAGCAAGGGCCAGGGATTTAGCTCAGTGGCACTGCGCCTGCCTCACAAGCACAAGGTCCTGAGTTCGATCCTCAGTACCAAAAAAAAAAAAAAAAATGAAAGCAAGAAGCAGCATTGTGAGGGGGATTAATGGTAATGTGTCTTTTACTGTAATAAATTATTAGCCCAGCACATGCCTGTAATCTCAGCACTCAGGAGGCTGAGGCAGGAGGATCACTGTGAATTCAGCCCGGGCTTCAAAGTGAATTCAAGGGCAACCTGGACTATATAGCAGGACCCTGTCTCAGAGAAACAAAAACAAAAACAAAAAAACCCCAAAATTAAAACACTCACTGTATTTTTTATCACATTCTCATAAATTGACAGATATTCCATATGCATATATTGGGAAACTCAATATTGTCAAGATGGCATCTCTTCCCAAACTGATGTATAAATTCAACAAGTGCTCATCACAATTCTAGTATTTTTTTTCTTTTGCAGAAATTGACAAACTGAGGGGAGATGAACAAGTGCAAATTCCCTATGATGAGTGTTATCATTATGTATGGCTAAAATGTACCAATAAATATTTTGCTATTAAAAAATAAAAAAAGAAATTGATAGACCGATCCTAAAATTTATATGGAAATGCAAAAGATCTAGAATAGCCAAAACAATCTGAGAAAGAACAAAATTGGAAGACTCATATTACCCAAAACTTACTGTGAAACTTCATCAATTAATACTCTGTGGTAGGGCTGGGGATTTAGCTCAGTGGTTTCGCTGCCTGCTGCGCAAGCGCAACGACCCGAGTTCAATCCCCAGTACCAAAAAGTAAAAAAAATACTCTGTGGTATAGGCATACAAATAAGGAAATAGATCAGTGGGACAGAAGTGATAATCCAGAAATAAATCCTTACATGTATGGTCAATTGATTTTTCAACAAAGATGTTGAGACAATTCAAATAGGAAGAGATAGTTTGTTCAATAAATGGTGCTGGAACAATTGCATGCTAAAGAAAGAAAAACAGCAAATAAATGAATGTAGTCTTTCACCTTTACCATACACAAATACTAATTCAACTTGAATTATAGACAGCAATGCAAGAGTAAATCCATGAAACTTCTGGGAGAAAACAAAATCTTTGTGATTCTAGGTTGAACAAAGAGTTATTAGATATAGTACCAAAAGCCAGAGCCATAAAAGAAAAATTGACAAATGCACTTTGTCAGAATTTAAAACTTTTGGTCCTTTAAAGATATCATTGAGTTGGGCCAGGGATTTAGCTCAGCGGTTTCACCACCTGCTGTGGAAGAGCAAGGACCCGAGTTCGATCCCTGGTACCAAAAGAAAAAAAAAAAAGATATCATTGAGTTAAAGACATATTACAGTGATACATGCACACCATGTTTATAGCAGCACAACTCGTGATAGCTAAATATTGGAAGGGTCCTAAATGTTCATCAA